TATTCTTTTAGAAATTGTTAAAGTTGAAAATGAAAAAAAAGAATATCTCGAATTTTCTAATGAAAATTTAAAGATTGTGGATTTAAAAACTGGTAAACAAAATGATGAATGGCGTTCTTACAAAATTGGAGATAAAAAGTTATTTCATCATGCAGTTGAAGGGGGTAAACAACATTATAGAGTTTATTACAAAAATCAACATATTATTGATTTTGTTAATGGAAAATTTATGATTAATAATTAAATTAGTATAAGAAGTAAGAATTATTAATTAAATTAATTATAATCGTAGATCTTATTTTACATATAAATAACATGTATCAATTTTTTAAATATTAAAAATAAATAATATGCAATTTATTATTAAGATTATCGATTTTTATTCTGATCCAATTTTTAAATCTCTTGCAAAACATTATTTTAATTTGGAGGTTTATAAATTAGATAATGAAACAAAAGTTTTAATTGATTTTAACGATAAAAAACTTAAAATTATTGATATAAATACAAATGATGATTTATCGGCTTTTTTTCTTAAAAGAAAAAATAAATACAAGGTTACTTATAACAATCGAATTATTTGTAATCTTGATGGTGAACAGATAATGGTAGAAAAAGAAGGTGTTCAATATTTATTTGATATTGTTGGATCAGATGAAAATATTATTTGTATTGTAATTATTAAAAATGAAAATGGCGTAAAATCATATTTTGATATTACTGATGAGAAATTAAAGGTTAATAAGAATCAAGAAATTAAATGGCGTAATTTTGATCTTGAAGGAAATGGAAATATGGTTAAATGTTTAAAGTTTGATAAAAAGAAAAGTTATGAAATTACTTATAATGGAAATGTACTTATTAATATTTTTAAAGGTGATTTTTTAGTTTATGAATAATATATTTATTTATTAATGAGATTATACAATAAGTTGTTATTATTTATTAGCTTATTAAATTTAATATATTTATTTTCAGAAATGAGTCTATGGTTATAAAGATATATGTTGTATTCATTGATTTTTTTTAAATTAATTTTTTTACTTAAAGTGATTAATTTAAAAAATTTTTTAAAATCATACATATGATTATTAAAATAACTTTTAATTTCTTCTAAAGTATAATTTAAATCATGCATAAAATAAAAAGCGAGTTTGTCATCTTTAATTGCGCCATTTTCCCCATGAAGATACGAATATCCGATAATATATTTAAATTTTTTTAATGATTCTTTATGAA